GTGTGGTTTTTTTTGTTTGTTTGTTTGTTTTTAAAAACTTCTTGTTTTATTGTCACAACAATCGCTTGCTCGGATCAGCTGGTGGTAAGTTTGGGCTTTCAAAGCTGTTGCCAACAAGAAAGATGCAGCATTTCCTCTGGTGGACAAACTTTACAATGTCAACACTGACTATGATTGAAAGGCATTTCTCCTCTTTCTACTTTAAAAACGTTCATTTATCTGACGTTGTAACTGCTGATACCGATATCATTAAATACAACAGCCAATATATCAGTCTGACTCTAATTTATAACTTTTTTGGAGCTAAGGTTCAGTTGAGACTGAGCCACTTGGTGGGCAGGAAAGGTGATGAGAAAGCCGAGGGATGCATTTATCAAACGGGCCATAGCAGCATTATCTCAAACTCAAACTGTGAAACTATCCTCCTGTACGTCTGCAGCAAAAATATAAAATGTAGATGTAACTCTTAAAAAATCTCTGTACTGATATGGGTTGATATTGTTGATTTTAAGCATTTAAATAGCTGATATTCTTGTAACCAAATTTGCAGATATGAACAGTCGAGTGTTCAGTTTTAGTTGCTTCTAGTTACACTGTGCTAAATGACCAGATATACAGATGTTTGCTCAGCTGCAGCTGCAGCTCACAGCGTGATCACACAGAGCTCTTTGATTCTTATTTATTTTTTTGTACATTTCTTAGCAGGAGGCCACTTATTAACTGGACTGTTTGTACAGCTGGTGTGATGATCCTCCGGTGTGATGAATGTTTAGCCTGAGAATCTGCACATTTATGCTTCTCTAAAAGTACAAAATAAATTATGAAATAAATAAATTATGAAATAAATTATGTTGAAAAGTACACACTGAATCCCCCTTTTTCAAGTGATTATAACATAGTGGATTGTTACTGTAATATGAGTAAACAGGCCCAGATTCACCTTTTTTGTTACCTTTATACTAAATTCATTGTGATGTTGATGTTTAAAGGAAAGACTGATGTTGTAAAAACACCTGGGAACAGATCATGGTCTCAGTAAATCTGCTTTAAGGAGTAAAACATAATCTGGAGCCTTAAGTGATGTTTCCTGGCCTGCTCGCAAAGAAAAATCCTTCTGGAACTATGTATTCATGTGTCATAGTTTTCACGTTTCTTTTACATAGTTACCTTATGTGACACATTTGTGGTTAATTGGGTAGTTTTCATAGTCTTCGTGTGCTTTTCTTATCTGGTTCATTTATTGTGTCTATGGACACGACTTACAGTTTACACTGTACAGCACCGTGCTTCAGATGTGCTGTATTAGTAAAATATGGAGATCGAAGGCACCCTGACTTCGATCATTTGGTGAAAATCTTCTCTCAAAAAAGTTTGTGGATTTATTTATTTATTTTTATTTATTGATGTCCGGATCATGATTCCTCATAAATGAAGTGGTTTCCACATGTAACCGACTGCTGTTTTCCATTAAATAAAAGCTTCATCAGAAGCTACAAGATGAATTATGTTCCTGTATTAATGAGACCATGTACATTATTCTCTTGCATTTTTAACAAGGCATACCAGGATGCCTTGTTAAAAATGCAACATGCATTCTTTTATTCTACAAAGAAACTAGCAAACCGCTGTCCTCGGTCAGACTGCACTGATTTGCTGCCCTCAAGTGATGCTTTTTTTTAGCAACACAAATTTTGAATTATTACCTTTACCAATAAACTCAGTGATTACTCTGTTTGTGTGTCTTTAAGTACAATTACAACAAAAGCTTATGGATAGCTTTGCGTGAGCAGCAGTGGGAGATGGAGACATTTGCAAATTTCACAAATAATCATCAAAGACAAAAAATAGAATCATCGTTACCTTGTTACTATGAAGAAAATATAAAGTGATCTACATCCACGTGTCCTTTTGGATCCAGTGATTGCATCGTATAGAGGAAATAATCAGTATTGTGTACAGACTGTTTTTGTTAAAGTGAAAACTGGTGAAAAAAAAAGGTTTTTGCAGGTTTTTATTAAACATAGCTCATAAAGACACATATTTACATTATTTGCATCCTCACACACTGCAGCTTATACTTGACTTCCAGTTAGTTTGTGCCTGACAAAAGTCTGATGCTACAGCTACAGTACATCCTCCGCACACACAGTAGGTTTGAATTGTTACAAACAGAATTAAAGTTCAGTGAAACACAGAAGATGAGCTCAATAAGATCCACGGTCAAAGAAGAATTAATAGAAATAATAAGACATGTAAATAGAAAACCTGCAACTTCATCCAGGCTTCAATTTTCTTAGTAGCGCACACACATGCATGAACTGTACAAAGCACTGACTGTTGTTTGACCCTGCGGCCCAAACCAAACAATGGCGTTCCTTTCCCCTCCTCACCACACCTGGCTCGAATCACAGATCATCCCCCAGCGTTCCTCTTTAACGTGGTTGATGTGTCATTTGGTGTCAGGTATGCAGCCAATCACAGGAAATGGCACTTTGCTGAGTTTCCTACTATTGTTTAAATCTTTACCTCTTTGGAAACTCCTGGAACAAACCTCACGAAGATGTGAGATCTGCTTCAAGCCTGAAAACCTT